AATACAGTTTTAAACTATCTGAATAAATGAATAGCTACTCATTTTTTTTTTTTTTTTTTTTTATTGTATAGATTTATTCCTTCATTAAATTTGTTACATACAAACTATAATTTTTCCCAATAACGATAGTCCATAAATAGTCCAGACCATTCTCGCATTCCAACAAAATAAAATAAAAATTATAAATATCAAATATTAAAACACAAAATTTATTTTGACGTCTAGTGTGGTTTGATTACGTTCAGGGTGGGCTTTAGCCCACCAAATCCTATCCAATATCCACCTATGTATAGTACACTGTGGAATTATCTTAACTGTGAATTACAAAAGTAAGAGGTATTACATAAAATCACAATTTAATCTAAACTATTACTGTGGTATGAAGTTTGGATGTCTTTGTTTATATTAGTGTGTGTATGTGGTACATGAACAAACAAAAATACTAAACATGGTATTCACTTATAAGATTCTACGTTTATTTTTGTGAGATTCACCATATCATTCTCTGGCTGTAAATTTGAACCATAAAATGTTGTAGTTTCAATGAAATTGTACAAGATTAAATAGTTTTATCTATATGTATATGCATTGGTGTTAAAAGGAAAGTCTTAGGGTTTTAATAAATTCAAAACCATTTTGGAACCACCCACAAAATGTTGTTATCTTTTTTTTTTTTTTACAAAAAATATAATTTAGTTTAAATAGTATAAGACATTAAGTATTACTTTGGATTAAAATTAAATTTTGTATAACTTGGACAAAACTAAAAGTGTCTTTTACGCACTTCGATGAAAAAATACTTTACTTTTCCAATGTACACATCGTTAGATAAAACATTGTTTTAACACTTGGATTCGGAAAAGAATAAAATAATGAAATAAAATTCTATACAATCTGTGTCAGAGTGATTACTTTTATTTTCTGCTTGAACTGTCACCTGTGCGTAAAAAGCGACATCACTGCAGTGCATTCCTATGCATCCATTATTATTCGTTTTAACCATTATTTTCTTAGTCTGTAAACATTCGACTGTATTTCTTTTTAATTTGTTTGCCCAACCATTAAAGGTAGATCAATTAATGGTCCAATAATTCAATATAAAATTATTTAAACATTTTCTAATAATATCAATATAAACAAAATCAATTTGCTGTACACGTAAAATATAATATTTTTATAGTAAAATTTCTAAATTCCAATTGAACGATCGTTTTATTATATTACTGTCATGGTATTGTGATGATGGTAACTAAAAGCGTATCAGATTGTAAAACAACTGTGACGTGTACGATTGAAAGTAGAGATTGTGCATGGTACAAAGTGACCAACCTAGGCATATTTACGGGTGTTGATACAGAAACACCTGCATTTTTATTTTAAATTATTTATAAAGATAGGTGTATACATTTTTAGGTACTTTGGTCCAAAATGTAAGACAATTGGAATTTTATTTTATTTCATGGTAAATATTAAACAATAACGTCATCCTCAGTTGATAATAACAAATAATACCCACATTGACATTGACACCGCGGCGTGTATAGCGTATACGTATACTACCATGTAGACGTAGACTGCTGCAGATCATGGTTATCTACGAGTGTCGAATAGACCTTATGATCCAAAGCGTAGAATGTGTGATATCAAACAATATGATAGGTTGATTATTATCAACACCGTGCTTTCATAATCTTGGTACACACGTTCCTAACGGTTAGTATTTTATTTAAAATACAATAGTAGTACGACGAAAAAAATAATTTATTATAACTTCAGTGTTAAATTTATAGTAAACGAATAAAAATCAAACTTTTTAAGGTTTTTGGAACATAACGGCAACATAGTTTGTGCTATAGTCTGGTCATGCCTATAGTGACCGATATTTCAAAAATGGTATCTTCGGCGTAACAAATTACTCGTATTACAGTGATATTTCACGTTTTGTATTATGTTCTGTGCTCAAATCCAAATATTATCAAACGAAATAACTTTAAGCCTTACATTTTGAGCCAAGTGAAAGGTGCATTAGATTTATTTTTATTTTATTTTAGAAACTTTTTTTGGTTGATAAATCTGTACTAAAAGTTTCATAAAGAAAATGTTTCAAGTACAAAGTTAAGAACAGATGATACTTTAAGCATGTCATTTTTTGATTTTTTAAGTAGTTTTATTCAGTATATTGTTCTAAGAGTGTGACAACCAAGAAAAGCTATCGGTATTGAAGTATAAAAGATATCAATAACATTGACAGTTATTTCATTCATTGCAATAAATTCAATTTTAGTTTTCATTGATTTATATCATATAAATTGAATACTTAAATCATAATTCATTAAACAGTTTGGTATGAAAATATTTATTGCAACACAAAATATAACAGTTTATTAAAATAACTAAAATAAAAATAACCAATAGTTTAATCAATTTGATAAAAAAGAAAAAATACCTAATATTTCTTAGATAATTAAATAGATTGTGTTCATTTATAATTTATAATTCGTTTGTTATAAAAACTATTAATTAATATGATTTTTGATTTTATACAGTCCAGTTTTTTTTTTAATCTAGATTAAAAAAAAAAACTAGATAAATTTTACTAGTTGATTATTTATAGTATCAAATTTATAAATTATTTCATTAATTAAATTGTCATTGGTTAGTTAAAATAACTTAATGGATATAAAATTGTTTTAAGTATTTTAGTTTTTTATATTTATATATATATACCCATTTAAAACAATTTTATATCATATTTAAAGGTGTTTAATTTTCGAGTTTTAATATGTTATGAATTTCATAAGTCTTTTATGTTTATTTGAAAGTATATAGTATTATTGAATATTTATTTTTATATTAAGACATAGTAATTTCCATATTTAAAATGTTTATGAACCTGTTGTGCTGATATATATTTTGTTTCGTAATCTCAGTAGTTAAATTTAAATAATTTCGAATAATAATAAATAAGCAAAAATTAAAAATATTAAATCCATTAATAGTTTGACTAATAATTATTCGTTTACCATTATACTCTCGGAAATATTTGAATGAACACTTATGACACAGCACGTGCAATATGTCGATTTCGCTATAATCTTAATGATCTTTATGATTTATGTGTTTATTGAAAAAAAAATTGATAATACAATGTTAATTATTAACATGTAAAGTATAGAAATTCAATGTTTTCAAATAAATTTTGATTGAAAAGTTCAGCGACCAATGGGTTAAGTTCATTGGTACGAATTGTTCCGACCAGTTTATCTAATCAATCTTTTTAATGTGCCCGTCGTTAGCCCACCCTGATCGCATTTCAACGTACAGCTTGTAGAATTCATTATATATACTAACAACAGATTTACAAATTAATTACCACATCAGTGATTACTAAAATGTTTTTTTTTTCTAAGATTAATATTCATTCATTGTTAATAGCATAACCACATATAATCATAATGAAATCTATATTTTCAAACGTATAGAAAAAAATGATATCACCTTGAACCAATCTTGAGATAGGGAACTATTAATATTTTATATATTTTTTCGAAATATGTTATATAAATAAAGCAGTACAAATATTAACACATCTACATAATAATGTTTTGTTTTTAAAATAAAGTAAAAGTTAGCGGTTCGAATTACGTGAAATATTCCGAAATCAATTATTGGAAAAATATCCTTGCAAATAGGATGTACAGAACATGGACTATATGTGTGTACATTTTTCAATCAATGGAATTCGTGCCCATTATAGGCGTGAACGATATATAAGTTGATTTACGTCTCAGTGTTGACCTACAATCTCAACAATGGTCCTAAGCGTTTATTTGTCCAAAAACATTACGGAAAGAGTTATCGCGGTATTGACGTTTGTTTGGAGTCGAGAGAGTTCGAGTTACGTGTTTAGATAATAAATCAATACGAATTAACGGCCAAATCCCTTTCACGAAATTTTTGCGGTGGATTAAGATTTGTGAGGAGAGGAGGTGGTTCTGAATAGGATGCTAGAAATACTTTATGTCGAAATGTTTAATCCCGGTGGTTCACACCGACGATTGCACCTTGAACCCTTCACTGTTGATGCAGTTTGCGCTCTTGGCAATGTTATACCGATGTCATGGAGGAGGGGACTTGAGTTTGAATTGCACTTTGAATTTCAATATGTTTCGGAAAAACGAATGTAAAACTTCGTGATCGACTTAACCGTATTTCTTCGTTTGGGCGTTTACTTCAATCGAATTTCTTATGAAAATGTCCCAACACTTTTTCTTTTCCAAACACAAAGTACAAGTACGTCTCGCAAAACAATAATAGTTGAAAAAAAACTTTTGTTTTACATTCGTAGTACTCGTTTGATTTTTAGAACTATCGTTGACATTTCTGTTGAATTTTCTATGTATCATTTTTTCCTTCCTTATATTTTATACGAACGGATAACATTTGACAAAAATTAAGTCCACATTCTTCTTAATCGCCTTTGTCCTAATCGTCCGCTTTGTGCGTTCGTCCGAAGAAAAATGTTCTTGTAAAACATCTAGTTTTATTTCGTATCGTTTTTCCCCCCCCCTCCATTTGTGTGCAATACCAGTGCGACGCTGACTATAAGGTGCCTGGACTACGCGAATCGGACGTTAATTTTCGGAAACAATTTTCATAGTGAAAAAAAAAAAAAAAAAAAAAACATAAAAAGAACGAGAATGAACGGGTTAAAAATCGTTTCTTTCGATGTAAAACGTTTACATTTCACGGGAGTTTTTAGTGAATAAAAGAAGAAGAAAAATGTAAAAAAATCGTTTTTCCGTCGCACCACCAAACCGTACGCCGGTGCGTCTGGCCGGTGTTCGGACGCGCGGCAACGTTTTCGCCGGGATTCGGGACGACACCGTTCTGGAAACCACTGGCCCGTGCGATCCACCTCCGCCGGCGCAGCAGCAGCGGCCGATCGCGTGGATCTGATTACGACGATATTAAAACGAACGCATAATCATGATGCGCGGTCAATGTTGTCGGGACGAGCGAGCAGGAAACGTTTGTTTTCGATTCGCGCCGTACGAGTGAGAGGGCGGGTGAGAGAGAGAAAGAGTGAGAGAGAGCGAGTGAGAGAGCGAACGGGACCGGTCCGCGCGCGCGCGCGTGACGATTCGCATACAGCCGCGGCGCGACAAAGCGGACGATGAAGCCGCCGGCACGTGTCGTACTCGAACTGACCGTGGCCGTGGGCCTGTTGTTGCTCCAACCGACCGGGTGCGCGGCCGACAATCGCCATCGCGACGAGACGACGAAGAGCACGACCACTGCGACGACGACGACGACGACGACGACGACGACGACGGACGGTAAACGAACGAGGGTGTTTGTTGATCAAGTATTGTTTTTTATCCCCTCCGTCAAAACGAGATACGTGTTACTACCCCACGGCACTTCCCGTTCGGTCCCGTCGAGGGCGAGGAAAACGTTCGGGTGGATTGGCTTTACTAGTTTTTTCGTAGCACGTTTTCGGTAACCCGCCGGTGGCAATGGTCCCGACGAGTTCTGAGCACACCGATAATCCATTGAAGTCAACGGAAACCTACACGCGCGCAATGCGAAATCGCCTGCTCGCGTGTTAGAAATAAATAAACGAATACGTTTTACGCGAACGATATTATTTATTCGCACTGCGCGCGGAGCGAATTATTATGTAGGAAATTCGATACCAATAGCGCTTATGGTTCTCGTGTACGCACGTAAGCGAAACTGAAAAACGGTGTTTTGACGAAAAATATGTACGGTTTGAAAATATAATTTACTGTGCTAAAGATATTGGTACAATGTTGGTGTTGAAAAATCGATGGATTTGTCCCGTTACATTTTTTCTCGTAAAAGTTCTACGTTCCGAAATGAGCCGCCATGTTCGATTATTTTCATGGATATAAAGAATTAAAAAGATGTTCGTTTTGTATTATATATATATATATATATTAAATACACTTGAATATCTTTAAAAGTTGAAACGAAATCATTGTTTTTGTTGTTTTTAAATTAGTTCAATCAATTACAAATATCACAACAAAAGATTTACACTAGAATTTAGTATCCAACAACTTTTTTTCATTTAAGTTTATTTTTTCTAACGTACAATCGCATACTGGTGATTTTTACCTATTTACGTTTAAACTATATTTTATTTATAAATATTTAATATTAAAATGTCGTTTATTTGAGGTAAATATTATAGTTAATCGCGTTCAATATCCAGCCAATTAATAAGAATTGTTAGCATTTAAATATACAGTGATGTACTTATACTTGTTTCATCGAAAAAGTTAAACTAAAAAAAAAAATTTTTCTTACAAACAATTTACTATCATACAATTTTCGTTACTAAAATCTTTCGTAGCTATGAATTGTACTTATTAATCGTTATTAGTACAAGTTTAAAAAACACTTTAAAAAATACCAATCCCAAATTATTCGTATTTTAATGTTTTATTAGATTAGAGGTTATATTTCGATACTCCCAAACAAAAATAAAATCCTCATCAGCCATTTTCCTTTACACCGTTTCTTAAATTTAAATGAAGATCTCAAACTACCCAAAAATAGGACGTAGTTTTTTTTATTTCTTCCAAAATGATTGTCTATTCGAACATAAAAATCTTAGCTATGACAAAGAACAACGGTTATAACAATATCGTTTTATGGTCGGTTATGGTTGTCAACTTTCAAATTGTATAATGTAGGACATTTTTTTTAATATTTATATATTTACTTTATACCATAGCTTTATAAACAATACAATCAATAGAATATAATGATTATTAACGAAAAAATCTTTATTTATTTATATCACCTTGATTAAATTACCTTCTTGATACTTCTGACTTAAATAATTCAACGTACAGTATATTACATAAATTAATAGTAAACATTTATTTAAATATTTGAAATAATTGAAACAAAATTTAAGAATTAACAATATTATAAATCACATAAATAAAAACACTTAAATGTTTACTAGCTTAATTAAATTACTTATTAAATATAAATCTTAGAACATAATAAGGACATTTTATAAATTTGATGCTGGTCAACTAAATAACAGTTACAATAAAATTCTTACAACTGATTTAGAAATTCATCACGGTAAATTCAGTATTTTAATATATTAGACGAAGATATTATATTAAGATTATAACACTATTTTTAAAAAATAAGAGTTATCAAAAATAATCATTTAAATGAATTTATATTTTGGTTCTTCGCCAATTTAATTAAATCTTCATCGTTTTTTAACATACAAAGAAAATTCAAGATGAGCAATTTTTATAGTACAAATAAATCAATAGTTCACCTCCAAGGAAAGCTATTAGACATCTATTCTTCTCATATTTCCCTTTAATATTTATTAAAGAAAGTGCTCTTCCAGTAAATGCATTACTTGCGGGTAATGCTGATAAAAATTAAATTAATAAAACCATATCGAGTAATTCAATATATTTCTGAAAAAAAAAAAAAATCGTAACTTATCTGAAATATTTTTTACATTTTCCTAATATTTTGTCTTGATAAATTCTTTAAAATGTGATCGTGTAGTCATTACTTCCTCAAAATGTTTATCAAAATCAATTTTTTGTAGCCGTGGCTTATAACCAACAACAATATAGTCCGTCTACGACTGTTGCTAGTCGTGGACACTGAATGACCAAATTTAAAGTGTTAACGCGTATCGTAAAAATAATGATAAAACGACAGTTACAATTTGTTAATGCCTATATCCTTGATTTTGTTTTCTATTAGTTCTTTTATTAGTTTTGGTACGTTTATGAGCTTGAAATGTATACGTGCTAGTCGGATCCGAAGCTACAGCGACGGAATACGGCGTTATCGAGTATAATCCCGTAGTGGCCGATCTAAAGAACAACGTTGTTCTTTTTTTCGATTTCGCTTAGTCGATCATTTATTTATGTTACCTATGTTTCGTTGCACTTGAACGGTGTTATTGTACCGGTGTTTAATTAGGTTTTTAATGTCAATCGTTTGTTTCCTATGCATTGCTGGATGTTTTGATACAATATTGTGTTTGCGTTTTCCGAAAGAACAAACGGAGAGGAGTGTTTTCCTAAACATTTATAAACAGTAAAATCGATGTACATCAATCATCATTTGATTGATTTTGAGTGCGTATTATACACAGTTATTAGCCGAATGGAATAGCACGACGATATTATGCGCAATACCTATCTACATCCACTCAATTTAATTACATTAAACATGAACTACTGAAATGTATAACATTATAAAAAATCAATATATATTTTATATTTCACTTTGATATGAAAATATTGAAAATCTAAATCATTATTATGTTAATAGAATATCAATGATTTTAATATACCTCGGATCTATAATATATATTAGAAATGTATTACTATTGAACAGGGACCAAAACCTTGATGAATTATACGGTTCCAGTTCCGGTTCGGTTCCTAGAAAAAAAAAAAATCGGTTTCGGTTATTAAAAAAACAAAAATTTAGGTTTCGGTTTATTTTCGGTTTTTAAAAAATGAAAAATTAATTTCAAGTTTGATATTATACTAATATGAAAAAAAATTTGGTTCTATTTCGATTCTTTTGAAAATATTACTAGGGTAAATTAGCGTCAATTATAGCGGTTAGTAACAATTTTCAGCTAGATATCCTACCATCACTTAAGTGGATTTAGGACTAATTAAGTAAAAGTGTACTTATCACCGTCACGACTACCCAGTTTCAAATATCGTTTTATGTTTTTTTTATAGTTTAAACATTGTTTTGTGAATTACCACTTGTTATATCATTATTCAGAATTTAAATTTTTAAAATATAGCTCACGCGTGCTGTACATCAGATAACAATAGTCACAATCATAAAATGCCTACAAAAAAGTTATTTATAGACATCATTTTAGAATTTCTCGTTATTATGGGAATTAGAAAACCAATACGCAGTAAATAATTTTGTTGCAATTCCTATTACAGTATTACATTATTAACATAGAACTATTATATACTTTTATAGTTTAATGACACGTCTAAACTCTAGTACTTGCATGATTATTTTTGAATATTATTAATTTTGATAATAATAATAATAGATCTACGTATTTGTGTAGTTCTTATCGCCTATTAATGACAAATATAAATAAAAATAATACAACTATAACAATACCGGAATTAACCGTAAAAAAAACCTTTACAAAAAATTATTGGTTCCAATGAGGTTCCATTTTTAAAATTAATTTAAATTGGGGTTTCGGTGAGATTTCGGTTCCCAATATTCAAAGGGTCCCGGTTCCAAAACCGGTTCTTTTAGGTACGGTTCCAGTCCCTGCCATTGATTGGCGATGCATGATAAGTAATGGAATACATTTTAGTAGCAAAAAAATAAAGAATACCTTTTAAATAATCGAATAATCAAAATTTTGTCTGATAAATTAGTTTATGAGTTCCATTTAATGATAATACTGAGTGTTGCACTAAACTTAACTTATATTGCCGAAGAAACATTTATTTGTTGAATCACATTTTCTTTATTTTCTTTAAACAGTAACATTAAGATGATAATCGACGTCTTTCATTTAATAATACGCTTCCTTTTCGTAATGACTTCTTAGTTCGTCGTATGTAAATTTAATTAATTATTATTATCTGCATTAAATTATTTAAAATTTGAAAATACCATCGTACGGATAGTGTACTTTTGTTTAAATCCTTAAGTGTTTAACAGAGTATCAATACTTTACTGATTAGAATTCCAGAGTACCAAAAATATGCAGGATCAAAATAGTAACCACTCCTGTATACAGTGCAACGGAAATCGTGTGCTAAGTAATAGTACTGCCAGTGCAGTAATGAACTTTAAAATTATACAGTGTTGATTCAATGTATGCGTTTACAATATTTATTATTTTTGGAGATTACTATTAAGAGTTTAAAATATTGTATGTCAATAAAAACGTGGAAAAATATAAAAAAAAAAGCTTTTTGGTGTACAAATAGAGTTAATTATTATTCTTCAACAAGTATAAGATTAATTTCAAAAGTAAAAAAAAAATCGAATAATAATAATAATAATAATAATAATAAGCCCAGATGATGAATATTATTTCAGGGTTAGACTTAATTTTACTGGAATTTCATCAAAGTCTTGAATTAAAATATTAGGTATAATAATTTATTATTCATATAAAGATCTCAAGAGTATCGATAGTTATCATTGCGTTATTTTATTTTTGAAGATTCTATACGTATACGTACGAGATTCTCTGAGTAATATTATTTTATTATTGGTAATAGTATTTAATGTGTAGCCGCAG